TGTTATAGTTATTAATGTACTTTTGTTTCTGTTAGTTTCGCATTGTTTGTTTGTTTGTTCCAGAGCTACACGGGGGGCAAGTATCCACTACAACCGGACCCTAATTTTGAGTTGATAAAATAGAGTGAAGGCAACTATTTCACAACACCCACCGCCAACTTTGGGCTAATCTTGTAGCGGGCACACACACACGACCCCAAAGTTCGGAGCACGTTTTAAAGGAAGTAGTAAACTAAGAACCCTTGGATTCACCGCTAACCCTAAGGCCACGCCTAGCCCATTCCGCATTCTTGCATTTGACATTTAAATAGTACTTGCCCAAATGCGGGCGTTAAAATCCGGGAAATTTTTCCTTTCATGAACCAAAATAGATGAACTGATTTAGATCTAGGTCACACGGCTTCAGTTTTGTTCGGTTCTTTACATATTCATCACTTACATACATTATTTAAACCTATTACATTAATATAACTTGCAAACGACAGTGATGTGGACACTCTGGCCCTGTGTTTTCCAATAAGTAAGGCACGTGTCACAATAACTTATACACGTATTGTATAGAAGTCAACTGAGCCAGAACACACTCAAAATAATTGTACAAACAGGATTAACTTGATCAAAATCCTTGAACTTCAACATCCGGTCTTATTAAATTTACAGAGAAATTGAAAACGTTGTTTGTAGTCCTAAACATAAAGCAGCGAAATTAAAAACATTGTCTGTAGTCCTAAACATATTACAGAGAAATTAAAAACCTTGTCTGTAGTACTAAACATATTACAGAGAAATTAAAAACCTTGTCTGTAGTACTAAACATATTACAGAGAAATTAAAAACATTGTCTGTAGTCCTAAACATATTACAGAGAAATTAAAAACCTTGTCTGTAGTACTAAACATATTACAGAGAAATTAAAAACCTTGTCTGTAGTACTAAACATATTACAGAGAAATTAAAAGCATTTCTAGTTCCTGCTGAAGGCTATTGGGCCCGAGGCCCTTTTCTGGAATTTTCTGACAGTTCTACAACAATGTTCTCATACTTGACATTCAATAACGTTCACCATCCATAAGAAAAATGAGTTTGTTGAAATTTTAGTTTACAAATAAGCTATCATAACAGATTAGATTTTATTGAAGTATTTCTTTGTAGACTCAGTTATCAATGAAAGTGTCTTGCTTTTCTGTTGCAACACTCGTGAGATTTTTGCTAAAGAAAAACAAATAATTTTTGTAAGTTTGTTTTTTTATTGTTTTATATTTGAAACTTATTCCCTTTTGTTTGTAATTGTTATTGGTTAAATCTGAAACATATCATTATTGTAGAAATTTCAACTGTTTTATTTATTGCTTGTTTGTTTGTTCTTCAATTTCGCGCAAAGCTGCACGAGGGCTATCTGCGCTAGCCGTCCCTAATTTAGCAGTGTACGACTAGAGGGAAGGCAGCTAGTCATCAACAAACACCGCCAACTCTTGGGCTACTCTTTTACCAACGAATAGTGGGATTGGCCGTCACATTATAACGCCCCCACGGCTGAAAGGGCGAGCATGTTTGGTGGGACGGAGATTTATTTATTGCTCAGCTATAAAAATACTGCCTAGTTATAAAAAT